CTCGGCCCTTAAAGGGGAAAGGTTGCCTACCCCTGGTCTAGGGACTATCTATACCCCCACCCTCAGAACCACATACATCATCATCATCATCACCACCACCACCTTCTTGAGCAACTGAAAATTGATGGTGGGCAATGTTTCCAGAAAAAGCCTTTTCTGCTTAACCCAAGGCATAGGGTGTACTTTATTTGAAAAGAGAATCTAATTTCCTGAAGGCTTCCAGGAGTGCAATTCTTTTGGGGATGAAAATTTACAGAGGAGAACAGTCAGTGGAGTGCAAACCAGGCTGCATTTTGACTACTCCTGTTTTTTTAATGTATCAGGTATTGTGATTAAAGAAGTTTCCACAAAAGTCCTTCACTTTCTGGCTTTCTACTGCCTTCTAGATCTGACCCAGAAGTGTCTCCAAAGTTGAGGAAGCCAGCAATCTTTATACTCAGATGTCCTTTTCTTAGCACAACCGGAGGCTGTGAGGAGCACCATCTCTGCATTGGTACTGGGTGTGGTGTAGTAGTTTGAGTGTTGGACTATCATTCTGGAGACCAGGGTTCAATTCCCAGCTCGGCCATTAAGCCCATGGGGTGACCTTGGGCAAGGCACATGCTCTCAGCCTCGAGGATAGGCAATGGAAGCCTCTTTTGAACAAATCTTGCCAAGAAAACCCCATGATAGAGTCGCCATAAGTCAGAAATGACTTGAAGGCACACAACAACAACATTAGGAGCAGCCAATATTTCAAAACTGTAATCTATTGAGGGGACTGGGGGGGTTTTTAAATGGTAGTTTTCTGGAAATTAAATCTGCCTAGTGTGGACTCATACCCTTCAACTATTTCAGTTTACAGGGACAGCACCAACTGGTGTTCTGTCATCCCACTTTTCCAGCCCCTTTTCAAATGTTCCAGCTTTTGTCCTCTTTCTTTTGTCCTCAGCTTGCTTCAATTGTGTTCAAAGTGGAAAAGTAGCTTGCTCCCAACTCAGCAATGGGCAGAGGTGAGGCGAGGGAAGGGCAAGTAGGTTCAGGCAAAAGCAAACTGCTGCAGCCTCTCCCAGGTTGTGTTTCCTTCCTCAGTACCAACTTTTCCATCTTGACCACACTCTGATGCTGCTTGGCGATGCATGCCCCTGTTTTCCTCATTTTTGGAGAATATGTGGGCTCCCTTTTATTCTGATGGACGCCAACATGCAGAAGCTTCTTCCATTCTGCTGCCAAGGCGTTGCAAAGAGATTATGAATCTTTTGCCCAAACCCTGAATGACCTTGTGTGGTAAATAAAGAGGCTTGGTGATTTGCAGCTAATGCCCACCACTAACCCTCCAGTTCCGCTATTCCTGCCACCGCCGAACCACGAACACCATTGCCACACTTCCCTGCTTCATTAGGCCTCACCTTGTGGGCTTCTCGCAGCATTAATAAAGCCTTTAACATTGTTAATTGCTTCTCTGTCTGACTCTGAGAAGAGGCTCGGGGGCAGCGGATAGAGCAAAGCGAGCGGCTGTTAATAATCCTTCTTGGAACATATTGCCTGGGCTATAGCAAAAGGAGGGTGAGGTGGATGCCAGGGGCCAAGATTTCTGGGCTCACTCAAGCCCAAATCCGGGTGACATACCAAGGAAAAGCTATTGAGCATTGAAGCAGTGTTCCTAGCCTTCAGCACTGAGGCCGCATGCAGCACCCTCAAACTGTACTGTATTTCAAATAAAATTGTGGTCTGTGTTCCCCCTGTGGTGAATATCCCACATACTCAAGCCTAGACCTCAGCATGAATTCAACTGGAATAATTGCACCTTGGCTTTTTGAGGTTTTCTTAACAGTCGCCAGCCTTGGCAAGAATCCCAACATCAACATATGAAATACTGAAAGGATGGTGGGGAGGGAGGAATCCAATAAGGCCAGATCCAGCTCTGCCATGAGGCAGAGTGAAGAGAAGAAAATGGGACTCCCTAGATCAGGGGTAGGCAACCTTTTTGAGCCGGGGGCCGGATTGCTGTCCCTCAGACAATTGGGGGGCCAAAGCACCATAAATAAATAAATAAATAAATAAATATTTTTAAAACATTAAATATATGCATGCACACTCTCTCAGCCCCAGAAAAGCCATGACAAAACCCCTGTGGAGATTTTGCCAAGAAAAACCCAAGAACAAGTAATAACAACAATAATCAATATCATTATGGTGGGTGGCGGCGGCAGCAGCAGGACCTGCCTAGGGCCGGTCCAAAGGCCTCAGGGGAGCGCATCTGGCCCCCGGGCCTTAGGTTACCTACCCCTGCCCTAGATGATGTTGGACTGTACACTCATCCCTCCAGATTCATGAGGTTAGGGCCACAGGACCCCTGTGTATATGGAAAAATGCAAATAACAAAACCACTATGTTTTTACCTGAGAGAACACCT